AGGTTAAAAAATAATTGTAAGTCACTTTGGGTAAAAGCGTCTGCTAAGCACATAAACATAAACATCATTATCTACACTCATACACATCTTCATAAGATACAAATTAAGGTTAAGGTTCACCTCACATAACGTTTAAATATTCTTTATTCACAGAATTAAGAATCTTGTATCTGAAGGAAGGAGTGGCTTTCTAAGGAATGTTTTGGTAAAGCTTCCAGACATGGCACATTCTGATTTGCCAGAATGGCCGGAAATCATATCATTGTGGTTTATTAAAACTGAATTTACTTCACAATTAATTCAGTTTCCAGCTGAGCCCTGATTCGGCCAAACCGGGCAAGAAGCCTCTTTTGAAGCATCTCTTTTGACATACAGTCAACCTGTTTGCACGCTGCGGGCTGACACAGCCGGACAGCTCCTTAACTCATTCGCTGCCAGCGTTTCTCGTAGTTTATACTGTTTTTTTAAGAGTTACAGAACGTTGTGCGCTAGGATGATGTTGACACCAAAACAGCCAAAACAACCAAAACAAAGCAGAGACTCACCTCTTACATCAGGAAGAATCCGCGCGTTTCGAGCTTTATCCGTTCTTTCATAATCCGTTGTTGAACTGTGATCGGCAGAAGCTTCTCCAGTTCGCGCCTCACTTTTTGTACAGCAGCGGCCCAAAACGATCTCCTAACACATGGATTTTCTGCTTCCTGATCACGTGACGTGTGCGGATGAAGATCGGCTTTAGAACTGAGATGTTTGTTCTCACGGTGTGGGGGCTCGTTCCGATGCCCACACAGTAAAAAAAAATGCAAATGACGACTTTAATCGTCATTGGCAGTGAATGAGTTAAGAGCCATATTGACTTTGGATGCAGACAAGCATTCCAGCTATTGTTGTGACCTGGAAACATCTCAAGACTGGATGGGTCGCATCGAAGTTAATCCACTGGCTTTAGGTGGCGTAAAGTCCACCCGACTTCTGACAGTCCGGATCTGCTGGGGGTCTCCGCCAGGCTCATTTCAGAAACAAAGTGTCTGACAAACATCTAACTTGCATCATACCACCTACACATCTCATTCCATCACCACATATCCACTCCATCACATCTCATGATTCCATATCTTGTCATGTATAATCATTAGTTTCGAAAAGAATAAAATTCCTTTTTAACTATATACTTTGTCTGAATTAATACGAAGTGTGTTTATGGTCCCTGAACAAGTGAAGAACCCTAGACTCTTCTGATTAAACATTCAAAGATCAATCAGATTGATATTTCATATTTATGTGATTATTCATATCAATATGAAATATCAATCTTATTGGTCATAATTAGCATGCATTAATTGCTACAAACCCCTGGTCGGTACATCTGCAGTGGTCTCTAGTAGGAATGAAGCCCTTGTAAGTTGTTCTCTGGGGGAACAAAGGCCAGGTGCACTTGTTTCAGGATGTAGAATTGAGCCAGAATAGAAGTAAGCAGAACACGGCAGGATTTGGAGTAATATTTCTTAATATTCAGACCTCTCACCTCCTATTATCTGATATTATCAGCTTATCAGTCATTTATGGCACTTACACACTAGCATCTTCTCCACTCCGCCTGGACCGGGTTGGAGGTGTTCTCACCAGAGATGAGAACTGTAGCTTCAACAAATCATCTCCATTCCATGTTTTATTCAGCTCAGCAACTAAACCAGGTGATTTCAATCAACACAGTGAATGAACCTGTTTCAGTTGCTGAGCAGAACAAGAGGACGACATGGAGATGACTTGTTGAAGCTACAGTTCTCATCTCTGGTTCTCATTTAGGTAATCTTGGATTTTCCGGCACGCAACCGGACGTTTTTTCAGCCCTCCTTCAGAGGCCGTCTTCCTGGAGCCGAACTGGTCCAACACCCACTGCTGACTGATTGGCCGGCTCAAAATCACGCGTACTATTAGGGGGAGCCTCCGATTGGCTGATAGAATCGGCCTGCAGGGGCTTCCTGCATGCGCAATTCATTATCCTTCTGGATGCTGTTGAGTTATTGAGTCTCTGACTGAAGCAGTTTTTCTCTTTCACTGCTGTGAGGAGAGCGAACACACACACACACACACACACACACACACACACACACACACACACACACACACACACACAATGCTGCCAGACACACACACACACACAATGCTGCCAGACACACACACACACACAATGCTGCCAGACACACACACACACACAATGCTGCCAGACACACACACACACACAATGCTGCCAGACACACACACACACACACACAATGCTGCCAGACACACACACACACACAATGCTGCCAGACACACACACACACACACAATGCTGCCAGACACACACACACACACAATGCTGCCAGACACACACACACACACAATGCTGCCAGACACAGCAAAGCAGGGTGCAATATCAGTCTCTCAGACTGCTCAGGACACGTTTGTTTAATAAAGAAGACACCGCGGGTTTCTCAGTGTTCTTAGCCCCGCCCACGGGATGTGCTCATGATATTCTGCCGTTAGTCTGGTTTCCTTGTTTTGTGTTTAGCTTTTTTGATAAATGAAAAATGAAAGCTGGTATTACTGATGTTTTTTGAACTTAGATATAAACTGTTTTGGTGTGTTTGTCCTTTGTTCTTGAATGTAACGTGCCATTTTAACAGTTTGATTTGTGTTAATGAGATTTGAGGTGCTGACCTTCCTGCTGCTGTGCTACAACGCTGCTCTCAGCTACATGACCTCCATCTCCCTGCAGTCCCTGTGCCAGCTTAGCTCCAGGTAGAACACACACACACACACACACACACACACACACACACACACACACACACACACACACACACACACACACACACACACACACACACTTACACACACACACACACACACACACACACACACACACACACACGAGCACTAATGCAGCATTTGTGGATCACGTCACTTTCAGACTAAATGCAAACATGCATCATTTTTAGTCTTAGTTCACCATCAGTGTTAATGTGATTAATGGAGGCTACTTCCTCAGAGTCATGAGCTCGTTTGCAGGCAACTGCCTATCTGACCCTCTTATAGACTTTGCTGCTAGTGAGAGCCAAGATGCCAGTATTTGGCATAAAGCTGCCTTGTGCACACACACACACACACACACACACACACACACACACACACACACACACACACACACACACACACACACACACACAAACAGTGTTGTTGGTCCTCTGCCAACCATAGCTGAGCATTGGTCTCAAGAGTCAGATCGGACTTCCACTTGACAGTTAATGTGGCGGCTTTAGATTTAAGCAAGATGGTTGAGAGCTATTAGAAAAGTATTTGGTGTGTGTGTGTGTGTGTGGGGGGGGGGGGGGGGGTCGGCGACCTGAAATCATGTCCCTCCTGATGGAGCACTCTCCCTGCTGTCCTGTCTCACTCCTGTTGGGTCGTTACTGGTTCTCCTTTCCAGGGTGTGTATATGTGGGTATCCACGGCAACAGATGCGGCGCTACAAAGGCATTAGCTCACGGATGACGGTTACCTCGGAGTTCTTGGTTCAGCTCATCTCAGGGATCCACTACGCCCTGTGAGTATGACTCAAATGCTACCCCACGGTGCAAACACGCAATTACTTTCTAATATATGGCGCGGTATGGGGGCCAAAATTAAGACTACTGCCCAGCAGCAGGAGGCTATATAAATTCCGAAGCAAACTACTGATCTGATTAATGATAAGCTGGCGCCGGTAACTGAGAGGCTGGGGCTGCTTACTGAGAAATAGCACCTTTACCGGCGTTACTAATAGATACGCTAGGGACTAGCAACCCTCGGCTGGTCATTGACTGGTTCACACACTCCCTCTGCTGTCTATTAGCATGGATAGGCTAGCGTTAGCCTGGACGGGCTGGTGTTAGCATTGGAGAGGCTAGCCATTAGCGTGCCTAGGCTGGCCACTAGCTGGATTTCCTACCCCCTTGACGGACCATTAGCATGGATAGGCTGACAATAGCATTGGAGAGGCTAGCGTGCCTAGGCTGGCCACTAGCTGACTAGTGACTCTCTGAGACACTGTGTGCCACATTTCAGACAGATTTACTGTAGAAATCCTCAGATATTAAAGCAAACTTGTAATAAATGCAATACAGTCAATACAATTATGTCATTTTCAAAAATTCATTAAAAATCATCCTGAGTAGTTGATGTCCAACTTTCATCACATTATGACTCTGGGACACCTACAGTACCTGTGTGCCACATTTCAGACAGATTTACTGTAGAAATCCTCAGATATTAAAGCAAACTTGTATTCAGTCCAATACAGTTAATACAGCCACCGTGCCGAGCTGGTTCATTTTGTGTGCTAGTTCAGAACAGTTTTCTGTTTGCCGTCCAGCATTATCGCTGTACTTAAGATCACCATTTGTTTCCGCGAGTCTGCATTTTGGGTACTTTTCCTGCCTGCACATGGCCCTCACATGACAGTATAAAACTTGCACAGCAAGTTCTTCAAAATGAGGCGTACTGCAATAAAAGACTGACTGGGTGGATATCAAGTTAAAAGGAGGAGTTTTGAAACACCCAGTACAGAAGGACACAAATAGCTGCGGTGTGATTGTCATCTTGGTAAAGTAACAAAAACATGAGTTTTAACACATTTTTGTGTTGGTGGTGCATTATAAAATTGAGTCCGCTATAGAAAACCAATATGACAAAATTATTTTTTGAGTATTTTGCTATTTCCATAGATGCCTAAGGCGTTCATGGAGTCCTTTCCCAAAATACCAGACATGACATTTGAAACAACAATTACAGCAATGGTACAGCAGCGTGAAGCAATTGCTTTACAAATACTGGGAGCTTCAGGTTTGTGAAGTGTTGTAGCACAAAGAGATTACTTGTATTTAAATATATTCATTGTCAATCACAAATTTTACTATATTTGTAATAGTGTTCGAGGCAGAAAACAATTGCGCCATGTGTCCAACTCCAAAACCACCTTTTTCAGGTCCTTCTATCACCAAATGGGTAAGACAGATTTGTAATTGAGGATATTATTTAACAAAATCTATTGTGTACAGTTGCTTTTGTTATTTGGTTTTTGTATTGAGGAAGAGGGGAAATTTAGCCTAAACTTGCATTAATTTTTTTTGGCTTGGTGTGTTAGTTATTTTGAATAATTGATATGTAAAGAAAATATGCAATACATAGAAATGGCAGATCAATAAAGATATTCATGTTAAATCACGTGATAAAAGAATATTTTTTAATTTTTGGTTTGTTGAACATTCACAGATCCAGTGTGACAGCTGTTCAAGGTGCTTTCACAAACAGTGCCTGCAGATGAACACTGAGCTGTGTCAGGAGGCAGAGGCTGCAGAATGGGAGTGCGCTCTCTGTGGAAAAATAAATACTCGTATTTAATTTGTAAAATGTATATAAGGTTGACCAATGTCATGTAATTTCTTATTTGTATTGATAGAAACTGAGGAACAGGTGTAAATATTATTTAGAAAGTTTGTATGTGTACATGTAAAGGTTATGTATTTCAGAACTGTAAATAGAGCTTGTTCGTTTTGATTTTGTATTGCAGTCTTTTTCATTTTAATACCTTTTGTAAAAAAAATTACACTAAATTAAGAAAATAATGTGATTATCGCAGTTTGGGTATGTGACCCAACCCTTTTTGCATTTGTTTTGGTATTTGTTGATACAGATTACTATTGATTCATTGAGTGATTGTAATTGTTGTTTTTGCTGTTATTATTTACTAGTTTTATTTTGTCGATACTTTATGTAACGTTCTTCTAATTCTCCATGACAGCTCATAGTTGCTCAGTCTTTACTCCTTTGTTGACATAGATCCTTTTGTGTCACCTCCCATTACGTTCCAGTCTCCCTTGTATGTTAATGTTGTAAAGTTAATATGACGTATACATTCTTCATGTTTCCTGTTTTAAACGCCTGTTTTCCCTTCTCATGTTCAAGTCTTGGCTGTACCCCTTCATACTGTACCTCATACTGCTGTTCACCATCATGTTCAGGTCTGTAGTAGTGTCGTCATAGTCACAGTAATATTCACAGCAGTCGTAGTTTAGCCTCGCTCAGTTCAGGACTAATTACTTATTGCAACCTATTACGTTTTTCCTTGTTGTATGTTCATGTTTCTTCCATCAGCCACAATAAAGGGCTTTGTTTTAGTTCATCACAGTTTTGTTGTCCTCCGTGTCCTGCTTGTTACTATGCTTTTAAATTACATCATCTGTATACTAAGTAAAACATATTCCATTCTAAACATTTTTGTAACCATTCAGAACATGTTTAAAAAAATTAAAACAAGTTGAAATATTATTTCAGAAGACTAACAGGAGTTGATTCATCTTATAGGTGGAGAGTTTCTGAGCAAATGTTGTTGTCCATGTTGTTGTTTGACCTCAACTATTGAGACTAATTTTTAATGAATTTTTGAAAATGACATAATTGTATTGTATTAACTGTATTGGACTGAATACAAGTTTGCTTTAATATCTGAGGATTTCTACAGTAAATCTGTCTGAAATGTGGCACACAGGTACAGTAGGTGTCCCAGAAGAGGGATGTGTTGAAAGTTGGACATCAACTACTCAGGATGATTTTTAATGAATTTTTGAATATGCAACCAGACTGTCACAATGGTGTATTGGGCAGTTCCATTGCAATTTGTGTTGTCGCGTGCTCGTGTGAGTGTGACGCGCACGGATCTAGTCTTTCTATTGGGAAATAAAGCAAAAATGTGGTACCGTAAAGACTGGTATAAAAGCGCAAGGAAATTTACGCGGCGGATAAGAAGCGGCTGCTTGACCGCGGCTCACAAATGACGGCTCACTTGACCACGGTCGTGAAAAATGGTACCACGCCTTGGACATTTTCTGTCTTTTTCGCACTCCACCGAGGTCCACGTAGTCCGCCATGGCTTACGAGAAAGTTAAGTTACATTTGCTACTCGCGTGTGTGCATTAGTGATGTGTCGGTTGCGAACGAACCGGCTCAAAGAGCCAGCTCTTTGAAGTGAACGACGGGAGCCGGCTCGTCATTGGGAGCCGTCCTCTCCCCTCCCCTTTTGCTTTGGTGAAAGCCACAGGCGATTGGTCAGCTTGTGTAACTGCGTGTCCAGACTGTCCACACACAGAGCAGTAGGGGCGGGGAAGAGGGAGGATAAGACTCAGAAACACAGCAGAGCACATGCGGGCGGAGGGAGACGAGAGGGAATGAGGAGGAGGAAAAAGGCGAGAGAGAGAGAGAGGAGAGTGCGATGAAGACGGTGAGAAAATGAGCGCCAGCAGTCGGAAAGTGGAGATTTCTGAAAGTGTTCAGTTATTAAATCCATAGAAATGATAAATATTTGATATATAGCATATTTTTTTCATTAGTAAATCATTTTACATATAGTTTTGCATTATTTTGGTTATAAATGTACTCTACGCAACAGAAAATCTGAGGAGCCACTTGGGAGCCGAAAGAGCCGGCTCTTTTTGGTGAGCTGAGCCAAAAGAACCGGCTCTCTAAAAAGAGCCGGAATTCCCATCACTAGTGTGCATTCAGTGCAGTGTGTATGTGCGTCACTTATTTCGGTCCGGGTGAAACATGACCCCGGGCGATTGCAAAGCTATGAATTAATTAAACATGAATTAAACGAAGCCTCAAGGCAGAGAATTTGACTCGACGCTTTTTTGTAGTCGAATTATTTGAGGTACTCGAGGAATCGTTTCGGTCCTACTTTCTAGTAATACCTTGGTGTTCCTGAGCTGCTCTTCTCCAATCCAGTTCTGGTTTTGAACCATGTCAACGTAAAAGCTTTCCTCTCTAGTGATCGAAACCTCCAAGCATGACAGGTAGCTAAACCCCGTTCTGTAGCTTCTTTAACCTGCATCCTTTAAGGGCTTTGCTACAGCAGCTGGTTGCAACAACTTTACTGTTTAAGGAAGGACTGACGATTCACTCTGACAGGTGTCAAATAGATGATTTTCATCAAATTCCAAAAGCTGTTTGGAAAATGAGAACATTAGACTTATTGGAAATTAAATATAAAGATCTTGTTTCGTATTCTAGACCAGCAGTGTCCGACCAGCATGTTTTAGCTGTTTCCCTGCTGCAGCACACCTGAGAGAGGTGTATTTACCTGTTCAGCTCTGCAGGAGACCGTTAATCCTGTTCTGAAGAAACTCAGGTGCGTCCAAGCAGAGAAACCTAAAATATGCTGGGCGGTGGCCCTGGAGGACTAGATAGGACACCTCTGGACTTCTAGTTTTATCAACAGGTGTGGAGCAAAAATCAAACTTTCAGTTCTTTTTCACCATGTTTAATGGATGTTTCAGACAAAGAAATTTCCTTCTGACTGTTGAAAATGATCTCCACAGATGTAACGGTGAGGTGGAGCTGGGGTCCAAAGCTCTGGATGATGTTCTGTACCGAGCCCAGCTGGAGCTGTTTCCTGAAGCTTTGCTGGTGAGTGAGAAACGTGTGTGTGTGTGTGTGTGTGTGTGAGAGAGAGAGGGAGAGACACGTGATTAGGATGCACATGCTGGCCTTTGGTCCTGGTTTATGCTTGGCACAGTATGCTGCATTGTGCTGGTCTGTGTGTCAGCCACTGTGTGCAGAGTGTAATCCCTCTAGATTATTTACATGCTTTCCCCTCCGCTCAGTTAAGCTGTAATCCTTGAGGCCTAGGCAGTAGAGGATTGGATCTAGTAAGCTCACAATATTACTGCACAAGCTAAGGTGTGCACCCCTACAACAATCAGGAGGAGGTGTTAACATGGGGTGAGAAAAAGCTCTGCAGGTGCACTGGTGGGTTTCATGCTGGTTTAACTGGAGGCTGACCCTCCCAGCTCTCATGATGCACACTGTGTGATGATCTGTGAACCAGTCTTGTTTATTTGTTTAGTTTAATTTGCTCTGACAAGCGCCATTGCTGTCGGCAGTGATGCACCTACATAAACTTTGATAAGCTTAGGTGTGTTCTTGCTGTGCGTTATTTCTAATTCCATGTTGTCGTTCTTTTTTAAAACACAGAAACAGTTTTTTTTTACCTGTTTTTGACGCTACGTTTCGCCGACGGCTGCCGGCTTCTTCAGGCTGACGCTGATGGTGGCGCGTCACTTCCTTCTCCGTTTATCTGCGGAAAATCTGCGAAACCCCATGCAAACTCTGCAATAAAACATACATAGGAGAAACCGGACGCCAACTCAACACACGAACAATAAAACACAGAAAGGAGTGCGAGAAAGAGGCAAATCGAAAACACACAAGAGCAGCAAAAGAAGAAGCAGAAAGTACAATAAAAAAGTCAGCCGTAACCGATCACTGCACAAGAGAAAACCATGTAATGGACTGGGACAACACACGGATCATAAACACTGAACAACATAAATACAAAAGATGGATCAAGGAAGCAATCGAGATGAGGAGACGTGGATGTGGGACCATGAACAGGGACGACGGAGTTTACACGCTGGACCACGCATGGGACTGCATCGTTGGAGAGGGGAGAGCAGTCAGTAGAGGGCGACAACGTCCTCTGCTGCCCGCAGATAAACGGAGAAGGAAGTGACGCCACCATCAGCGTCAGCCTGAAGAAGCCGGCAGCCGTCGGCGAAACTGTAGCGCCAATAACGGGTATCAAAACCGTTTCTGTGTTTTATAAAAGAACGACAACATGAAACTCTGATCAGGTTTAGATTCTGTTATAAGACGAGCTGGTTTCCTGTAATACAAGATCTCATCAGCAACCATTCAGATTTCTGCACCAGAAGCTCTTCTCCAGTTAAAAATAAACACAGCGTAGCATTTCTTTCTGACTTGTGTGTGTCTTTGGTCAGATGCTCAGGTGACTGAACATCATGATAATTAGGACATCCATCAGCTCCTGAAACACTGATGTTCTATCTGTGACCTCCAGGTTGGTAATGCCATCAAGTCCTCCCTGCGTGGTGCAGCGCTGAAAAGCAATAACAAAGAAGGTGGACGAAGCATCCAGGTGGAGATCACACCCACCTCCTCCAGGATCTCCCGCAATGCCGTCACCTCCCTCTCTATCCGGGGCCACCGCTGGAAGAGACACGGTGAGACGCAGACAGGAAGTCAGCTGACGCCAAACAAAAGACAGCATACAGGAGCTGAAGTCCTCACGCAAAGAATCGCTTCTAGTAGAATTTTCTGTCTAAAGGAAAACGGACCAATCTGTGTTGTGTTAATCTGACACACACACACACACACACACAGGTGTAACTGTAATATGTCTGCTGTTAGAGTTTAGCCTCTGTTGGTTTGCACGTGATCAGGTCATAGATCTGGATCGTTCCCGCTAAAGTAAACGGTGAGCGACTGAAGTGCGTGCCGGCTACAGGTGCATCAGGTAGATCAACCCCTTAATGACGGGGTTATAGCTGCACCCTGCTTAAGCTAGAAACGGTTTCACGAGCAGACGACGGAGGAACCGTATGGTGTTTTAGATGAAGTGGTGATCTTCCACAAGCCGTTCCGTTCATCTTCATATGGCATGTATTTAGTCTTCTGTTCATATTTTATTTGTTTTCCTGTAACTTTTTCCTGTTTTTGTCTTTGTGGTTGTGCGCGCGCCTGTGCACATGACTACATTTTTGTGTTTAATATTTGTGTGCATGAAATCCATTTCCATCTCTGTGTTTGTGTCTCCGGTTTGTCTGTTTTGTCCCATCACCCCTCCATGCTCCCAGACTCGCAGGAGGTGAGTGTAGACAATGATCCAGCCCTGGGGGGTGTGGCCATCCCAGACATCAGCGTGACCGGTGTCTGCAGCAATCGACTGGCGAACGGAGACTCCCTGCGGCCACGCCCCGATGGACGCACCCACATTGATGCCGGCGACGTGCCGGGCGTCTCCTCTGAGGTCAGCCTGGACCCCAGGAGTCACGACTCCGGAGCTCGGAGTCAGGAGGTCAGGAGGCAGAAGTCTGTGAGACGAATGGTGGAGAATGAGGGTTCTGGGTCGGCCTCCACGGGGAGGAGCCAGTACTAAAGCCCTGCCCCTCTTTCCCCCTGCCCCCCTCCCGGGGTAACCTAGGTAACCACGTGTGGGGGCTGCTTGATGACTTTCCTTTTGACTTGTCACGCTGGGCTCCAACACACCTCCTCGCTTCACCTAATGGCACTTATTCCTCTCATCTGTCATTCATTCATTCATCCTCTCCTTGGTTTCTAAAGCTTCCTGTTTAAGATCAGCTTCTAAAAGCAGATCAGTAACCTGATGAAAACCCGTGAGGGCTTTAATCCTGTGGGTGTTTGTGTGATTTGGATCTTTCATATGAAGTGGGCTTATTTCCAAAACTGGATGTTGGTTTTATAATTTATAGACGAGTAACTCCTGAAGGTCGACGTGACCTCCTACCATGAATGTTGTCGTCTCTGTTGATGTTGAGGAGTCCTGGGTTTATATTTGGAAACGACACCTCGGCACATACATCCTGACCTGGAAACAGACTCTTTGCTCCTGATTGGTAGCTCAGAGCTGAGGACAGATGGGCAGGTCTTGAGTTGGAAGGGATATTTTGTTCTTTTTAAAGCTTGTTTGTGTTGAAAACTTTTTTTTGATCAGTTTTGAACTGTTAAAATGTCGAAGATGATCCGGTTTTACTCAAGAATAGCCGAGTAGTCCTTTTTAAATTGAAATAAGAACCGAGTCAGGCTCTTAAGTGTGAGATTTGACCAAGCCCTTCCTATCTGTCCATCAGCTGTGTGCTGATTGACTCACATGTTGTTGAATGTGTTGGTTTGCTGTCCACATGGGTCTGGGTGCATGTTTTAAAGAAAGCAGGAAATTGTAGAGATAATTAGGAGGAACAAGCTACAACTAGATGCTTTAAATGTGTTTTGGTCTGCTTCCCTTTACTCTCCCTTTGTGGTTTTCCTGAGGCTTATGCTCTTAATGCTTTTCACACTTTCTTTTGGGACAAACATGCACTCCTTTACCACTAAACTGCTGGCTGTTCTCACACATCGCTGTTCCTCATCCTGATGCTGCTGGACTGGAACTTCCAGTTTCTCATCAGGCAGCAGGGTGTTCCTGTCGTGCTCTGGCGCCACCTGCTGGACAGCGACGCGTCTCCTCTGACATCCAGTCCCAGTTTCATCTGAAACAATGAAACGCCCTGCTCAGATATTCTAAAACCCCAATTAGGCACTAAAGGGACTGGATGCCGGAAGAGGCTGTGTATGCCCAACTCTGCTCCTGGTTTTCACTCATGTCCTCGTGTGTCCCTGTCTTCCTCACAGATGCAGTGGATCTGGGTTCCCCGGATGAGCTGATGGATATTTCAGAGGTAGATGAAGGGGTTTGGCCGAGTGGGATGGGGCCTGACATGATCCCCCCCACCATCATGATCAGCAACAGCACAACAACCTTGAACCTAGGAGCCAAGGCCATGAAGAAGTGTCGGCTTGGTGGGCGCAACAGCAAGGACAAGGAAGCGGGGCCTCTCACCGCAGGCCGGGCTGCAAGCGAGACCACAGAGCTGTCCGTAAAGCGCCTGACACTCACCTCCAGCCAGTCTGTGCCCAAAGGGGGCGCTCTCACCAGCCTGACGCGCACCGCCAGTGCAGTCTTCTCTCGTTCCTTTGAGCACGTGGCCAGCAGCAACCCCTCTCCTGTCAGCAACCACACGGCGTCGGAGGCAGGCCGCTATTCCTGCAGCCTTCAGGAGGAAGGAATGGGGTACTTGAGTCCCACGCCAAACCACACCCAGCGGTCCCCCAGCATCAGCCTTCATCTTGGCTCTGACCTTTGAGCTCCGTTACTGTAAAGACCCTCATCTCTGATCTTGTGACCCTGTGACCCCGTACCTGTGACCTGGAACTCCAAGCCATGCCAACAAACTGACCAGAAACATGTGATGAAGACTCCCGCCGTTCCCCGATACTCCATTTTGGATATCTGTAATCCAGCTTGCTGCCCTGCTCCGTTCACACAGAGGGACAGTAATGCTTCCAGCTTCACTGATCTTAGAAGTCGTGGCAGGATGGAACCTGTCCAAAATCGATGCACTTAATATGATCACTAAGAACTGTTAGAGTAACTTAGCAGCTGTGTGTGTGTGTGTGTGTGTGTGTGTGTGTGTGTGTGTGTGTGTGTGTGTGTGTGAGAGAGATACGAATGTTTTTCAGAAAAAGGCTGCTGATTGCTACATCGAACAAGATGTGATTCTCTTAGTTGAACCTTATTTCTCACACATTTAGATCACAGCAATATAAATATCTTTGGTATTTTCTGTGTTTTGGGTTGATCCATCAGACCTTCGTTTACGTTTTCAGCACTTCTAAACGAGCTTCTTAAAAGAAAGCTCAGATCTTTCTGTAAAATACGTAAAATCAACCCTTATGTGAAGAATCGGGTCTTACGTTTACTCAGTATTCTCTTCATATCGGAGAAGCAATACTTCCTCTTCGCTCCTCGAGCACCTTCCTTAATCGCTGTGTAATAAACTAATGGCAGACATTACACTCCAGCCCGTTTTACATGACAGACGCTTTACATTTTGGGATTGATGGGGTGTGTGTATGATTACGTAAATGTTGAATTTTGCACATGAAATAGAGAATCAATTGTTTGGTATTTTTGTACAAATGAACAGTTTGACTCTCACATTGTATTTTTCCTGAAAGAATCTCTTTACTCTTTTGCTCCATGAATTTATTCTTAACTAAAAATGACTAAATGAAATGATCAGTGTAAATATTTAGATTAAGCTCAACGGGTCAGTAATCAATCCTTCGGAGGCTTGTCTGAGGCAACAAGGCATCTTTTATGTGTTTTAATTCACCAAGCGATTCAGATGTTTGTCGTACCCAGGTGATGTCTCCTGCCCTCCTTGCTCATTATGTCATCACCATGCTACAAGAGGTGAAATTAAGAAAGCATTCAACCCATTTGCTGCACTCGATGTCCTAAATGAAGCAGCCATGCTGCTCCACATGAAGCACTCTGTGTATTGTAACTGTTGAGTGTTTAAATCTTGGTGCAACAATACCAATTCTGTCTTTGTTGTTTTACAGTGAACGGCCATTGTTGTACATCATACTGTTGAACTAAAAGTGGTGATATTGGCATTTATGTGTCTGTTAAACAACACACTGCTACAATTTCTGGGAATAAAGTGTTTCTATATTTCAGCTTGTCATTTTTTTTCAGCTCACAGTAATCAAAATATTTTAAAAGTCAGCAAATATATTTTGGCTTCTTCACATATGGTTGACAGAATTGGAAAAAAACTTATACACATAAAATTATATTTTATTAATTCAACTCACCACAAGGTTACTTATAATCCATTATAGTTTTATAAACATTTTAGTAGTTGTATTTCAGTAGCCATGCACTTCCGTGTTTGTCCTCTAGATGGCAAACCATTGTTCACATTTCCGTTAATCGTCTTGACGTCACATCCGTTTTCCTGTCCTTGGAAGCGTCGGGCTCACCACCGCTGGTAGACACATGGCTAAACTGAGTAAGGAGAGCAAACAGCGGCTGCAGCAGCTGTTCCAGTGCGGCCAGTTTGTTGTTCGATGGGGATTCATTCCAACCGTTCTGTACCTCGGTCAGTATCTAAACAGTTTACGGAGAAAAGTGCTTGCGAACTGAGCAGAAAACGCTAGCCGATGTTGGCTAACAAGCAAAGCTTGCTAGCTTCGCTGGAAACGTAAATCGGTGTTTTTGTTTCTTTGCAGAAAGAAAAGCGGATCTCGTACTCTAACCGGGTACGGTTCTAGTTTTGTTGTGTTCCTTTTACGCGCAGTAAGGCTCAGTTTTATTAGACATGGTAGTAGCTGAGCTGTGGTACGTTGCGGACATGATAAAATCTCAGTAACTGAAGTGTTTCCACATATTTAATAAACTAAACAAACTGATTTGTAACTTTCGCGGAAAGTAAAACTAAACGCGGAAATAACGGATTCAGGACTGAGCAAGTTCAACATTTGTGTCTCCTAAACCTAAAGACCACAGCAGGATCGTGTCCCTTCTGGGTTTGAAGTTGTTCCTGTATGTGTGAAGGACGGTTGTGGTGAGAAACAGTGGATGAACTTGACATCTTTGCATGGCTGTGATGTTTGCAGGATAGATGGGGAAGTTAGGTTTCCTCTGCATGTGTGACCGCACCGCCTTTATTAGCCATCTGTTCTGTTACTTCAGCATTTGGGAAACACCAACGCTGACGTCACGACATCTTTATTTCGGACCCGTATTGTGGTTTTCTGTTTTTATTAATAGATTTTTCCTAATCTGATTGCTGGCAGGTCTGCTTTACGGGGATACGGCATGAGCTCTCGTGCTGCTGCACACATTTTCTCAGTTTCTTCATAACTTCTAAGTGAGAAAGAAATTGTGCTTTCATTCTGGGTAGTATAAACAATTATTGGATGGGATGTCACTGGTAGGCCTTTTCATTATCACATGGACCAATAATCTGCTGTTATGATCGTTGCAGCTCAGATGATGTAATCTATCACACTCACTCTTTTCATTGTTGAGTGAAGTCAGACCTTTGGTCCTTGGTTTGCCAGTTCCAGCCTAGTTGTCTCCCAAAGACTTCAAAGACTTTCAACTGCTTCTCTCGTGACCAGTGACAAACTTTTGTTATCCAGGAATTGAATCAACTCCACGTATGTGTCATCATTTGTATCAGTGTTCTCTTCTTTACCACCAGTTCTAGAACCCTAGAAGGCGTTATGCAGCTAATAATTCTTTAAACCAAAAATTTTCAGTAAAGCCAGAATATAAAAGCCTGTTGGCCATAAAATATATCCAGACCTTAGTTAATCAACCTCTGTGCTTTAAAGCAGCTCTGCCTCAATGTCACAGTTGTGATTGGTTCCTTTAATAGTGTGCATGTGCACGCATGCACACTTTTTGTAAACTAGAGAGCAGAACCTTAAGTCTTCTGCTGTTTTGATTTGCAGGTTTCAAACGAGGAGCAGATCCAGGAATGCCTGAACCAAACCTTCTGAGGTAAGAAAGGGCAGCTGGGCGTCTCAACAGATCCTGATGGGGTTTTAGTCACGGCCGCTTGATTTTAATATTTTATTCTAGTTATTTTAGCTCTCTTACTATTTCATGTTTTATTATTTTGCCAAAATTCCAGGTGTGAAATATGTTTTCACTTTAAAGTGACAGTGTTTATTTTTCCTGGTGATGGGGGGCAGTAGATGGCTAAATCGTTGCAAACAAGCTGTATTTTTGTGTTGGAGTAAGACCTTACCTACAGATGCCCATTAGGGTCAAGAAGACATGGGTAGTGCAAACTAACGAGCACAACAAACTTAATCACTGGCAACAAGTGAGGAGGTAAATGTGTAAAACAACATTATTTATGAATGATAAAAGTTTTTTGTTTTTTTTTACCATTTGTTACAAATCAGTAAAGGCATTGTGTCCTCACGGGCTCCCGTAGAAGGAAACATGGCATCTAATATGGCGTCGCCCAGAGACTTAGACCCGCTCCCATGCATTTTAGACCTGATTTTTATGGTTATGTTACAAAGCCGTTAATATTTCTCAACAACTGGGCATCTTTTAATTAATTTTCAAAAACTTTTTGATGGATATTTCCAGGTTAAAACTACACATTGTCTCTTTAATTTTATAGGAAAGTGCAGAAAAGGTGTTCTAATGTCTTCAGATGTGTGCCTCATCCGCATGTTTGTTGTATATGTTTCACCTCTTTTTGTTATACAGGGACAATGAGAGATTAATAACTCTAAATCTTTGTTTGGTAAACCAAAAGCAGGCGAGCTCTGTGTTGATAAATAAAATAAAATAACAAACCTGGGTTGTTTCATAAGAGCTCAAAGATGAGCCTCTCTGCTAATTACAACCTGCAGTTTGTGATTGTATGAACAGCTTTCTGAAGCCAAAGGTGTCATCTGATGTAAAATATAAATATTATACTTTAATGATTTAGTCAATGGAAACTCATCAGAACAGCAATATAGCACAAGCAGGATGCAACAGTTGGGTAGTCCACATCACCACCTAAAGCCCACTAGGAGAGGTGCCTCCACCATGCAGCTGTGGCCTGCTGATAAGTTCTGAAAGACAGATCTAAACTTACCAAATTTAAAGTTGGAAAACGTTCCCATGTTCTGTCGGCCATCTTTAATATATGCACATCAATCAGGATATCAGCTGTTCCAGGGCATAAATAGTTACAAGTTTATCTTATATATTGTGCCTTTACTTCTCTAGTTTGCTCTGGGGTTGACGACCACCTCCACGCGGCCAGTCACCTCCCTTCATTGAGACCATGTAACGTCTTTTTGGAAACCAGGAACTAGATTCAGCACCTTCCTCCCAATCTGCGTCTGAGATGCTCTGAGAATGCTGGAGCGTTGTTTTTCCCTGAACAGATGCTGGTTTTCATGTTTCCTCCTCATCACTTTCTGAGAACTTTATGCTCCAGTTCATCTTTATCTTTATTATATCTGTAATTTAAACAATAAACATAAATGTTACTGTTGTCTTCATGAATCCAAGTTTGATTTGGTCCCTGAAACGTGAATAAAGAAGCTCGCATATATAAACACACAATTATTTATTCAGATATGTTTTTATTTCAGCTTATGTTAAAATAGTTCTTGCACCAAAAATGCACAACTTATCATTTTTTCTTAAAAAAATAATATTGATGTAAAATTTCTCCAACAGCTGCTCAAATGAACTCAAAATTGAAGTGTCTTTAGCATTTAATTATTTCTGCTTCTCTAATAAATACGAGACTTTCAGTATAAATAAATAATCCTGACAGCTCAGGCACAGCAAGCACATCTCCATGGTCCAGCCACCCAGATTCACTGAGGTATTCCCAAATATCAGGAATATTCCACCCCTCTTAACTGTTTTGGGTCCTGTTGGCGCATTGTTTGGTCATGTCCCATTTTTTAAAAGCCCTTTTCCCATCGACGAGGAAGTTCCTGAGGTGGTAGAGGACGCTGTGGCCTCTCATCTTTCTGTGGAAGTCGTCCGTGTTGCTGAGATCGCTCAGCATCTGGCTCACCTGGCTGCTGGTCGGCACCGTGACCCGGTGGCTGTTTCTCATCTGTAGGACAGAAACAAGATTAGGAACAGAATGTGTCCCGATGGGAGACGAACGGATGTCTCCACAGGTCCAGAATGATAACATCTGTTCTACAGATGCTATTTTTAATGTTATTTAAATTAAAAAAACAATGAAGTTATTGCACATGAACATTTAGCTTCTTGAGACACCAAACAGATCTCCATCACCTCTACAGGATGTTGTAACATAAAACATCCTGAAAGGTGTTTGGATTTGATTCTTGCAGAAGCGTAATAGGACTGTTTTCTGTCTCAATCCCAGATTAGAGTCTTCTTAGCACCTTTAACCTACCTTTCCCTTGATCAGAGTGATGAGCCTGAGGAGGCTGTTTTTGACCTTGGTCAGGAAGGACCAGTGGGGATATTCCTTCTCCACGTGCCTCAGGAGAACCATGTAGATGTGCATACCCTGGGTCAGCCTCTGGAGAAAGGCCTCCTGCACCGAGACGACACAGATTAAAAACCACTACAATAATCTGATCTGGATTATAAATGGAGAGCCCGGTTACCTTGCTGAAGCTGGAGTTTGGGGAGTTAACTGGGAATGAGGAACGATTGTATTTATCCAAAGAGGTGTACTCTATGTTCCCTTGAAATTCCTCCTCAAACTGGTGACAGAAGGAGCAGGTGAGATGAAACAGAATATTTTAGATTTAACTCAAACAACTTATAAAGCTCCCACCTCCTCCTGGTGATGTTTCAGCGCTTCTAACGCCAGCTCCCAGGAGCTCAGGACAACTCCTGTCTCCTCACCTGGAGGGCTGACGGTAAGCGTGTGCGCCAGCGGCGCCGCGGACGCGCAGAGTGCGGTGACGAGCATCGCGGCGGCGAGCAGGCAGAGATCTGAGAGAGGAACAGTGAAGGAATGAGATGATGACTGAATGAGAAGAGGAGGCTGCGCAGGCTGCAGGTGACTTACTGGTGTGAGTGAGCATGACGCGCTGCTGGACTGGGAGGACTGGCGGAGTTTCCTCTGATGCTCTGAGCTGAAGAAGTTCCCTGATTTTATATCAGACTGGAGGGATTTCCCTATAGGGTTCCCTTTCCTGCCTACGTCACACAGGATCCTCGTAGCTACTCACTTTTAGTGTTCTTGTAATTAAGAGTTATTTAGGACCCGCATTTAAATAAGAAGTTAGAAATAACACCATTGAGGAAAATGCCTCTGACATTTTCAGCCAATCATTTAATTGAGAAATCCTCTCTGAACCAATGAGCTGCTGGGATTGATCAGCGATGGATGCACGCTCTTTCCTTCTGACAACAGCTGGATTCACCATGACGTCATCCATCCGTACTGATATTCAGCTTTACCATTAAGATGTTGCTGGAGAAAATAAATTAGAATTATTTGACGTGATCAAAGTTTATTTAATCCTCAAGCTTTTAGCATTTTTGTGCAGCTCCTCTAAACCTTCACCACACTAGAGTGTGAACGGTGTTGTCCCCGTTCATCACGTATTATTAAAACAAACAGTTACACTGAAGCAGTCTCAGCTTCAGCGATGCTCTCCCCTAGGGTACCCCCCCACCGCCCCCACCGAATGCGCGACGGGGAGTCCCCGGCGAGGGGGCGTGGTCAGGGCATCCCAGAGCTGTGGGAGTGAAAAACACCACACTAAACAAAAATCTTTCTCAAGTCACCAAAAAATGTACAAAACTAATTTTCACCCAATTTCAGAAAAACTACAATTGAAAACTCAGTAATAAAAATATTTACTTCCTCCAGCAAACTAATGGTAGAAAATACCAAATTTAAGGACTATCCAATATATTTTACTCAAAGTAAGGACATGTGCTTTTATTTTGAAAAATAAATCATGTTTAAAACTCTCCACCCCGTTGAAGTGTTTATTTTTGATCAGCTGCTCATGTTTTTAATCTATTTTCTTGAATCTGAAATATTTTATTTATAGTCTGATGTTTTAATCTTGTCTTTTTTTTAATAAGAAGTTATCTAAACTCCCTTCTGGCCAGCATCAGGTAATTTAAAAACAATTTAGATATTCAGTGAATTTGCTTTGTTTTCCTTAGTTATCTTTTATTAATTTATATTTTATTAGGCTATAAAAAGTCTTCACACTTGTTCAGTTTAGCTTAATATTTTTCAAAGAAAAAATAAATACAAGAAAGAAAGAAAACAAAAGGCCCATTGTAAAACTACTGTAAATGACAATAATTATATTGTTTTATAGTTTTACAGCTTTATTAATGCTGACTTTGTTACACATCTATTCATATTTGCTTAAACCCACAAAAACATGTCTGACTGACTCAGCATCATCTGCTCTAAAAATGTTTTTGACTTCACAACTTGTATGCATACTTTTATGCATGTTTATATATAAACTAGCTTGTCCAATAATAGCAGCGGAAACTGGAGTCTAAAGATTGTGGTTAAATAAAAGTCACAAAGTGGATTTTATTATTACATCAGCTAAAGGGAATTCCAATTCTGTTTTGGGTTCCCTGTATGGAGGAATTCTGAAAATGAGGATTTTCAGTGAAAGATTGTATAAAATAGTGAAAGTTTGATCTTGCTTCCTGTATCGTCTTGGTTTTGGTCGTTGTTGGACCCAAGTGCAGGTGAGGACTCAAGAGGCAAAAGCAGGTGAACTCAAAAACCGGTCAAGAACACTGCAGGAATATAACAGGGGTGGTAGATATAATTTAATTTGATTCATTTTTGCTTAATTGTCAAGACTCACGTATGTGCAAGACATGGTCAGAAATTAAACGGTGTTCCTCTGTGTGCCCTATGCAAGCAACAGTAACATACCTGAAGTGTTAGAATTTCAACACAGCATGACCGGGTTATTCCATCTTCCCTGACGGCACGGGCATGTTCCAAGATGACAATGTCAGGATTCATCAGGCTCAGATAGTGAAGGAGTGGTTCAGGGAGCATGAGACATCATTTTCACACATGGATTGGCCACCACAGAGTCCAGACCTTAACCCCAGTGAGAATATTTGGGATGAACTGGAGAAGGCTTTGTGCAGTGGTCAGACTCTACCATCATCAACGCAAGATCTTGGTGAGACATTAATGCAACACTGGATGGAGATAAATCTGGTGACGTTGCAGAAGCTTATGGAAACCACGCCACAGGGAATGTGTGTCGTAATCAAAGCCAAAGGCGGTCCAGCAAAATGTTAGTGTTTGACTTTCATTTTTCTGTGGTGACTTTTTTGCCGGGCAGTGTATTTTTAGACTGTGGGAGGAAGCCGAAGTGCCCCGAGAGAACCCACGCATGCACAGGGAGAATGTGCAAACTCCACGAAACTCCAGAAGGACCGACAGCGCTAAACACTGCACCACTGTGCAACCCCTCTTGTAACCTTTAACCCGCTCAGGCTCAAAATAAGTTTTGATAAAAGGACAAATAACTAAGTCCTTCAGGGGTACATCTGAGTTAAAAAATGCTCATGAAATACTTATGTGGAGTAACCAGGTAGGTAGGTTTTAACTGTTCCAAATCTGCAACACCTGCCTCCAGAGGGTTAAATAAAAATGAAAAACTTTCATGTATTCATCTGTCTATGACTGTTTCTTATCCTGCACCTACTGTAACACAACTGCTCTTTTCAAATCTATTTTAATTTCTGAATAATTGATTTTAAAATCTACTGTTTTCAGTTTTTTCTTGCATCTGAAATGTACTTTGCACTGTGGATGACATGTTCAATATCATGTTAATGTGGCCAAAAGGCCCAACAGTGCAGCTCCACACACTCCTTAATGTGGTCAGTGCTGCATGCTGATTGGTCCAGGTTGGGTAGAAACCAGTTGGCAGTAATGGAGGATTAAAATGTACGAAAAACAAGCAAATCTCTAAACATACAGAAACATTCATTTTTATTTATCCTCAATATGAACACAAATGTTTCTGCAGTAACAATAATGCAGGACATTATTACATTTACATTTGGACTTTTCTCTAACAGTTGCAGTAATTCTACTTTCTTTGGTTTTGTTACGTAGAACAAGACAGCTGTAGAAACTGACTTGTTTGCATAACTTTCCCACAAGTTCTTCCTGTTTTGTGTAAGTCATGAAGCACTTCTGAGCCTTTGGTGCAATGAAGAAACCCTAAAGTTACAGCACAAATCACGCTAGTCAACATGTCTACACATGTCCATCTGTTAAAACCACTATATTATTGAAATTATTTATTGAAACTGGGACAAAAAATAGTTTGTATGTATCTGCTGTCAGACATTGGTGTTGGCCATTAAAACTCCTGACTGACTTTCCTTTACTTCCAGCTTTCCAGTGAATTAAAATATCCATTTAGGAAGCATGAGAAAAGATTTAACCAAATGTCTTTCCCAAGTCCATAAATGCACGCATATTCACCCTAATTTACATTTTGCCGAAATATGTAGTAGTGACTCAAATCCCCCCCCCCCCCCCCCCGGTGGGATTATTAATGGGGAAGTAAGCTATGGAAATGGGTCCAAAAATGGGGGAAAAGGTGTATAATGAGTGTGTTGTAAGAGTGGGCATGTGTTTGATTGGAGGAGTATTCTGGTACTTCCAGGGGGTAGTTTGAGTCTTCAGAATAACTCAGTGGTTGTGGGGTAAAGTGTTTGAGGTTATAGATTTTTTTATTTGGTGCCTTTGTAGATAAAACTTATGAGGTACTTCACAAGAAACAATGAAAAATGATTAAAAAGAACATACTGAAAAATGAGGGACAAATTGAAAAATTAAGATGAGGAATAACAATGAGAATAAAATTTAAAAAAGTAAATACAGCTTGAAATGTACAGAATTGACAGAAACACCAGCATGAAAAGAAGCTAGTGAGGAAGAAGAGGATGAACAGGAGGTCACACCAAGATCACCAGTGGTGCTTTTCCACATAAGTCCCTAAAAACCAGAACCAGGATCTTGAAAGGAACCCTGTAGTTAAAGCTACAATAGAAAATCTGCAAAACAAGCATAGCTTCAAACATTTCTTTCATGCCTCTTAACAACATTCTTACATAGCTACAAATATATTGTGGAGATTAAAAAAAATTAAATGGTTCTGTCACATTTGTCTAAAAACCTCTGACTCACCAAATCATCACACTTCCAAGGGTCCCCCTTTCATAACACACTTGCATATTTAGCAACACAACACCACTGGTGTCGTGAGAGGTTCTCCACTCAATAATATCAGAGAAGGAGAAACAGCTGCTGCTACCACTTCAGCTACCAGAGTCCCAAAAAGAAAAGCACCATTTGACATCTCATGGAGCCTAAAAGACATGTAGAGTTGAATGTGATATGCATGAATATGCTAAGAGATTCCATTTAAAGCTGAGGATGTGTTGATAAAGGATGACCAGTAGAGACCCCAGCACAGAACCCTGTGGAACAACATGGGTGAGGGAGGTCGAATAGGACTGAAACTTGGAGGCAGCTATGCAGTGCGTTTACATGCAGCCAGTAACCCTTTTAAAACCCGAATATTCACAATAACCCGGTTCCGCAGGTCCTTGTAAACACCGCCAAAAACCCGGATATGCTCATAACCGGGTTTTTAAAAACCCGGTTACTACACCTGGGGTAACCCTTTTCTAACCCGAATGCTTGGTCGTGTAAACGCATACCGGGATATCCCCATCAAAGCGTGTGTTCTGCGCATGCTCTGTTCGCAAAGAATCTTGGTCTTTTGAGTAGCGAGACGTCTTGTACACGCCAGAACACCGGAAGTAAACAACAAGTTGGGAGCAAAATGGCGAGTCGCGGCACAGCACCACACTTTGAGTGACGAGGAAACTAAAGCGCAAACAAACGCGGTCGCTATCTCTTCCGAATTGGGAAACATGTTGTTGTTTTCACGGATACCAGAACAAGAAGAACCGGAAATGACGCATATTGCGTCTGGACGTAGTCCATACGTCCTGACGTAGTCCATACGTCCTGACGCTACCCCAACGTCCGCAGTTAAATCGGGTTATGCAAGTTAGAGGTAAATCTTTCTATTTATGCTTGTAAACGGGTTATTCTGATCAACTCAGAAACCCGAATCCCGACCTTAACCCGATCATAACCCGGATATTGGCTGCATGTAAATGTACTCATGGAGAAGGAACACTCAGACAGATAAGAGGAAAAGGGCCAACAAGCAGTATTAATCCTCCCCAAACAAACATTGAAACATTTCTGTAGGTTGTAACAAAAGTCAGATTAAATCTCCTGACATGTTTTGTGTGAAGGCTAATATCCTGCTAGCATTTAAAATCCAGATCAGGTCATAGTTCCTCTGTTTGAGATGTCATTTCACATCAAAGGAAT